GGGGCCTGGCCGTAGCTCAGGCCTTTAAGTGGCTGCTTCCACAAAGCTGTCAGCCTCAGGTTGCTGGAGTTCGAACCTCATACCTCTCCAGCTGGCCAAAAGTGCCCTGAAGGCATTCGAGGAACAAAAAAAAAAAAGAGAGAGAAAATCTTCTAATTTGTTATTTTTAACATAAAGATTAAAATTAGGAGCTGGGGTGATAGTTTAGCAGTCTCAGAGCCTGCCTGGCAAGCACAAGGACCTGGGGTTCAACTCCTGGTACTACATGAGGGACAGCTATGCCAGTCACCAAAACCAGGTGAGCCAGTGAGCCAGCTACCAAAACCAGGTGTGGTGGTACACACCTGTAATCCCAATGCTGGAGAAGCTGAGACAGGAGGATCACTATGAGTCTGAGCTGCCTAGTGAAACCCTGTACCAAATAAATACATAAATAAGATTTTTTAAAAGATTGAAATTAAAGGGGGCGGGGAGATGACTCAGTGGAATAAGCGCTTCCCTGGCAAACGCAAGGGCCTGAGTTCAATCCCCGGTTCCGCCAAAAATAAATAAATAAATAAATAAACAAATAATAAAGCGCCTGCTTAGGCAAACTTAGACAAATGCACAGACACATCAGTCCAATCCCCAGCACCACATGCTGCAACAGCCTTGCCCCCAGGGTGGGCTGAGCCAGCCACACACACACACACACACACACACACACACACACACAAAGATTAAAATTAAAAAGATAAAAATCTTTAGCATCAGGGCTGGGAAGATAGCTAGCTCAGTGGCTTAAGCACCTGCCTGGCAAGCACAAGGTCCTGAGTTCAATCCCCAACACAAAAAAAGAAAACCAGGGGCTGGGAAATGGTTCAGTGGAATAAGTGCTTGCCTGGCAAGTGCAAGGGCCTGAGTTCAATCCCCTGTTGCGCAAAAAAAAATATTCAGGAGAGGCAAATGGCTCAGCAGGTTAAAGCAACTGTAAGCAGGAGAAGGGCTGGGGGTTTGTTCCCTGGGGCACCCTGAGATGGCAGTTGAGACTGGATGTGGTGGTGTGCATCTGTAATTCCAGCTCTCGGGAGGCTATAAACAGGCAGCTCACTATGAGTCCCATCTAGTAGTGAGACCCTGAACACCCTGTAGACCCTTCCCTAAAAAATACAAAGAGAAAAAAAAAAATCCTGAATTCAATTGTGGTACCAAGAACAGGGAGATAAGAATATATTTCA